TCCTTCACACCTTGTGATGAAGATGATGTATGTTTAGTCTGCATTGCAACATTGATTGGGCTCGTTATTGGTATTCTAGCATTCTGTTGTGCTGTCTGGTACTATGTGAGGGAGGTCAGTCCCGGTCAGGTCAGGACTTGTATCTAAGTCTTCCACTGCACTACAAGGCGCCATTTTGTATGTATCAGGAGGTACATTGCTTGTTGAGATTCTACTAGCACTGCATTGTCCATTCAGTCCTTGTCATCACATTGCGGATCCTTGGCTATGTATGTACATCGCCCGACTGGGCATGTAACAGATAACCATACTAAGGATCCATTATGGCCCTCCCTCCTCAAGCTATGGAGAAATATAGGACCGACTAAGGTTCCAACTCTGCCTAGATGGCATGAGGTTTGGCGCCAAGTTCCCGCCAACCTTGGTTTGGGAATCCACAGATATTGGATGAAAAAGTTCAGTCGTTTACAGCAGCTACTGGATCTCACTAGCTGCGGTGGATCAAAAATGGAATATTTATAGTTGGAGACTTGTGGGACCCGCAAACACACAAATGGAAAACGGGATCCCAAATGCAACCCCACCTCAAAAACAAAAAAAATATGGATGAAAAACTGCACCAACTCCACGAAGCGATCCCGATAGCCTGGGTGCGAGCGCTCAAGAAAGAACCACAATGTCAAAAAGGAGATTGGGTGGTTGACACTACATCCCTGCCCCTGCCGTCGGTTATCTACAAAGTACATAGTGCATACCAACATCAGGCAGACCTCCTGACCTACAATCCAGCCTTACAGGGAGAACGTCTCTCCCGCCTCACCCGTAACCCAGACCGAGATGGACGACTGCATCAGAGTGACCTTGTCCGAATCAGAGTCGTGGGGGATGAGAAGGACAGCTGGTGGGCCTATGAGATGTAGACCCCCACCTCCCGTCTTCCCTTCGACCCGGAGGAATGGAAATGGGAGAATAACAACCCTCTCCCACTGTGGAAATTCACGGTGAAGGACTGTTATAGACAAACACACAAAACCAAAGACTCCACGCCTATTATGAAATCGCGCTGGCTAAGGGACTCCACCGTGCAAGAACAAGACCTGCAACACTTTAGATGGTCGCACTTCGCCCGACTGATGCCAACAGCGCAACGAGCACTCCAATGGCAGATCATCCACAGGTGCCTCCCTACTCCGGACTGGATGGTGTCCCGCTCCAACCTAGAACAGAAGGGGATACTCTCCCCTGTCTGCTCTTACTGCGGCTCCTCGTCCCAGAAACACATAGCTGATCTGGAACACTGCCTTCTCTACTGCCCGATGGTGAGACAAATCTGGCAGTGGTGGAGCGCAGCCTGGCATCACCTCACAGGTGAGGCCCTGCCGTGGGACCCGGCCTTGATCCTGTTGACGCAGCAACCGAACATTCCCGCTGATTGGACACCCTTCCAGCACAATCTTTTCCAATACACCCGCCTGGAAGTCCTCATGACAGCATGGAGGGCAAGGTGCTCTCACGAGCGCCATGAACACACCTTTGGCTACCCCCAGGCAAAACAGCACATCATCGACACGGTGCGGATGTCCATTCACAAAGCCTGGGTCAAACTAAAAGACGAACTCAAACAGATAACAGATCAAACGAAAATCACAGAGCTGATCAAAGCCTTCGAACTCAGTTGGTTTGATCCAGGCAAGAAAATAGGAGAACTGGACCCAACACACAGACTACAGTGGAAACCATGGTGGCTGGACGAGGCAGGCTGGCAATGGCGTGCCTTGCCATCCTTCCTCTGACCTATTCCAGGACAGCCCATGATTGAGACAGCGACAGCCCCCCCTGTGAACTGTGTAACCCCCCCCTCTCAAACCGACCCCCCGACTCCGCCAACCGATTCCCAGGGCAGTGTTCCCCCCAGCCACCCCCATGCCCAAAGAGAACACCCCTACCTCCCCGCCAACCTCTGCCCCTCACCCCACCTCCC